CATATATTAGAAGATATGTTGAGTGCATGTGTGATTGATTCCACGGAATCATGGGAAAGGAAAAGTATTTGATTTTAGTAGAATTTTTCTACAATGACAGATAGCAATTGAGTAACAATATGGCTCCATATGAAGTTTTATATGGGAGAAAATGCCGAACACCATTGAATGGGCTCGAGTTAAAAGATCAAAATCTTGTTGACCCAGATTTTTTTTTAAATAGGTTGAGGATGAAGTAAATATTATCTCAATATGATATTTGATCGGCAAAAGTCCTATGTAGACTTGAAGTGAAAAGAGATTGAATTTTATGAAGGTGATAAAGTTTTTCTTAAAGTATCGCCTTGGAAAACAAAATTTTGTGTTTTGAGTGCAAAAGGAAAATTAAGTCTAAGATTCATTGGACCTTATGAGATATTAAAAAGAGTTAGACTGATGGTTTATCAGTTAACATTAACTCTAGAGGTAATTGAGATCCAGAGTTGGACAAAGTACACAATATTGTTCATGTATCGATTCTTAGAAATTATCGATCAAATCTTTCACATGTCATTTCATTAGAGGAAATTAAGATCCGACCAGATTTGACTTATAAAGAAAAACCAGTTCGGATCTTAGCTTGAGAAATCAAAGAACTACAACAAGATGATTCCACTAGTTAAAGTGATTTAGCAAAATCATAATTTCAAGGACATTACTTGAGAAAGAAAAGATGATATGAAGAAATAATATCTGCATATTTTCATATCAGGTTAAAGAATTGGATTGAACAGATTCAAAATCTAATGATTTGCATGATCTTTACAAAATTCACAGAAAATTTACAGTTAAGGTGTGAGCATGTCTTACCAGTCAGTACAACCTTAAATTAAGGTTACAAATTTACAATGGAAAGTGCAATCCTTATAAAAGGGAATTAGAGTTTATATAGAAAGTTTTAAAATTCTAGGATGGACTTTTTTTAAGGAGGAGAGAATTGTAATACCCCAGAAATTTAGACAATGACCAAAATGAAAATTTTGAAAGTTTGATGGTCAAAGTAGAAAATTGGGAAAAAGTTTAGGGAATTAAGTGATAATTTCCTAAAAAGAATTTTATTCCATAAATAGATGGTTTACTCTTGAGAGTGAATTTTTATAGAAATTATATTTTAGGATTTGGAAATTTAGTAAAGAAAAATTAGAAAGGGTTAAAGCCGGTAACGAAATCGGTAATTCAGATCGAATTGGAATTTTACAAAAATTTGAAGGATGTTATAAAATGGTTGGAAATATTATTTTAATATTTTGGATCAGAAAATTTTGGTTTGGAATTGTTCAATTTTTCATATTTAACTGAAACAGTGGAATTTAGTGACTAAAACGCAAGATTTGAAAATTCAAGGTGAATTTCGGAAATAAAAGTCAAAATAATTCATGTTTGACTTTGTAATATGATAAGGATCAGATGGCTTGGTTTTATGGTGATTATGGAGATTCATTATGGGCAAAAATGGAAATTCTTATAGAATTGAATAAAAAATTCCATTATGATATTATATTAAGCATGTGATAGATATAATTAATATTAGAATAACCATATTGGGGGAACATTTCATCTTTTTCTTCATCCAAGACCGACAGCCCCAAGCTTGCAAGGTAGGTATTCTTGTTTTGAATTTTGAAGCAATCTTGTTGAGAATTAGACTTCGGTGTGAATAGGAAAAATGTTCTACGTTCAATTCTCTACGTTTTGACATGAATATTATTAGGGTTCATGTTCAAGTTCATCTTGAGTTGATGAAAAGGAGATGTTGATTCTTTTGTTTTATGGGTTTTGAAGAGTTAAGTGATTTTAAAGAATTGATTGTAAGAATTGATGAAGAACCTAAGAATGAAGTTGAAGAAAACAATTTTGATTTTGAATCTGGCAGTAGGTTCGAAAATTCACAAGAAATTATATAAAAACAAATTTGGAGGTTATTTTTATATATTGTGTTCATATATTGATCTAGTTTTGTTTAAAACAAACGGGGATCAATTTTAAGGAGTGTACAAAACGATATGAATTTTTAACCAAGGAAAGGTCAGAAATATCAGACAGCAGATTCTGCCAAACAAATTCTGTTGGTCAACTTTGAAAATTCACCATAAATTGTAAATAATTAATTAGAAGGAGTTCTTTATATGGATAGATTCGTATTCGAGTTTAGTTTTCAACGAAAGAATTGGAATTGAATTCCAATGTGTATATCAATACAGAATATTGATTCTTTAAAGGTAGTGCGAGTTGTCTGAATTCTGGAAAATTGATGGGTTGTTGTGTAAATTGGAAAAGTTGGTTCCAATGTTAAAAGAAATTGTTAAGTAATGAGTATTTGGTAGAATATAAGTTCCAAATATATTATGGAGTTATTTTTGGGATATGTTTATGTTAGTACAATACTAACATATGTATCATTATGAATTTGTGCTTTATACAGATTATGATTGATTTGCGATTGAAGCAAGTCAAGTATAAAAAGGGTTTATTGTGGAACATAGTGAGGCACAAATATTTGGAAAAATTATAAAGTGTCAAGGTGAGTGCAATACATGCATGACATTATACATGGATGTTTTATACATCATCAGGAAGACTTGCGATAAGTCGACCTTGTTTATATCAGCATGATATATGTCATTTTTATAACTTTGACATGACATTGCAATGTCATGGTATGAAATCAAAATGCATTGATCATGAAAAATGTGATATTTTACCATGAATGTTTTCGGGTATGAACTGGCCAATGTTAAATATTGATTATATACTTTGCCCAAGTAAGTCATTGAGGGACAGGGTATAGTTAGAATGCCATAGAGTATAGCAGCTGCAGGTTTATATTAGCATTATAGTGTGTAAGGACACTAAGTGCAGGTTTATGTCCGGATTAGCACTATAGCGTAAGCTTAGTGTAGGTGGTGGGCATGGCCTTATGTGTATTGTCCGGATTAGCACTATAGCGTAAGCTTAGTGCAGGTTTAGCACTACGGTGCATGTATTTTACTCGAATACCCAGGGTCCTCAAGGTTTAATATTGGGCTATGAGCTATGGTTTATGGTTTATTGCTTAATAAATGGTAAGCATGCAAATAAGCTTAAGAGCTTATGGAATAATGGCAAGTATATTGGTAAAATAAACTTATGAGTTTATGGGATAAATGGTAAGAGATTTTATCATATTTTGATCATGGAAAAATATTGGATATGTTGGTAATATGATTTTATGGCATTTTGAAATTTACATTAAAAATCATGCATGAATTGTATTGCACTGTTATTGTTTTAATTGTCTCACTAAGTTTATACTTAGCGTGTGATAATTTTCACGCGTAGGTAAAAAGCCAATAGTGGATTAAAGAGTTCAAAGTGACATCAAGAATCGAGAGGTATAATTCAATATCAGTAAGACATCCTACGATGGAATTTAATTTTAGATAGTGGCATGTAATTTGAAAATGTTCAATTTATTTGTTGAATAAATTTTAAAAAATTTTATATTGATGAAAGGTTAATTTTTATGAATTTATATGTATTTTCGGAAGTTTCTGTAGCATGAACAGTAACCACGTTTCAAGCAAAATTTCCAGATTACATAAAGGGTACCGATTCTCCCTACTGGGAACTGATTCCCCCACTGTTCATCGCCACTGTTCACCGTTCACGAGTACTGTTCACTATTTAAAAAAATCTTATGAATTAAATTATTATAAAGAAACACAATTCGTATGATATGATATTTTATAATAGCATTTACCATTTTAAGAAAATAAATTTTAAATCGCTTTCGAATTGTAAAATTGTTTTAGAAATTCGGGTGACATCTATAATCTGTATATGTATAATTATACGAGTTATGGGTGTTACAGGGTGTTCGTGCGGCGCATGGAGGCTGTCGAGAGTTTAGAAAGCCCTACATGATCTTCTGATCTGGACCGTTTGATGGGTCCAGATCATGTGGCTCCTGATGGTGCGACGCCTGCCTCGAGATGAAACCCTAGCTAGGTCTGGGTCACGCATGTGGGTTGCTTCCTTCTGGGCCTGAACCGAACATGCTACTTCAATGGTCTATTTATCTTTTGGGCTCACAACTGGATGGACTATTTTGTATTTTGGGCTTGCACACTTGGTCTGTAAAAATAAAAATAAAAATAATATATAAGTATTAATATATTTAATATGCTTTTAACAAAGCTAAACCTAGACTTAAGATAATAATTAATGACCCCTAACGTATGCACATAATTAATATTTAACATACACTAAATATAAACATATATCGTAAATAATAATTAGAACGTAATTAATAATATGTAAATTTATTGATCTCGGGAAAAATTTGGTGTCTACAACTTGAATTTAATTCGATCCGAAATAAATATATTTATAAAAATGTTATTTATATTTAATAAAAATAATATATATAGTATTATTATTGTAATTATTTTTAAATATATAAGGTAAATTAATTTTCGAGTCGGGTTGGATATTTGTCACCCTAAACCTAAACTGAACCTGACCCAAACATATTTTCAAAAAAATCCGACCCGACTCAAATCTAATTTTTTATAAAAGAAATCTAATCCAATTAGATTGGATCGAGTCAAAACCCATTAGATTTAGATCTCATGCCCACCCTTATTCATAATAAATTATCATATCTACACTACGAACTGTGATATCAATTCATGAATAATCATATAGCGTCATAACAGTCAACATCCTATTTCATTCGTTAAAAGACTAAATTATGTTTTCCTCCGTTTAAAGTCGATATTTAACGTTAAAAAAATTTCCAGTACAATATTGATTTTTTTAAAAATAAAAGTTTGAGTCTTGGATTACATTCAATCTAATTTTTAACGGTTCTGATCAGACCTTTTAACACCAACTCCAATCCAACGGTCCCTATTCGTTTAATCGCAACTTAATGTTTTATATTTTAGAAACCTCAGGTTAGCCTCCAAGGCACTCCTACAGCTTCAGACTCTAACCAAAAAGTTCTCTAAGCCCTGCTAAACCCTAGCTCCTCCATCCTCAGCACGAGTTATGGCTCTACACCCGCTACGCCTCCGTCGAACCCTAACCACTCTGACCACGCTCCACCGCACTCTCTCCGTTTCCAACCTCAGTGTCCCTTCAGTTACAGCCCCAATTCCCAATTCCATTTCCGACCTCGCGCCACCTCCGTCTTTCGGTATCTTCCTATCTCGATGGTTCAGATCATCGGGGGGTCCACTTTCATCGCCGAGACAGTACAAACTGTACAAAGAAGGGGATGAGATTACAGAAGATACGGTTCTATTCGAAGGTTGTGATTACAAACATTGGCTTATCGTTGTTGATTTCCCCAAAGATAATAAACCTCCTCCAGAAGAAATGGTTCGTTCTTACGAAAAAATTTGTGCTCAAGGCCTCGGCATCAGGTCCCTTTATCTCTCTTATGAAGTTCTTCCTTTACCTCATAATTATAGGGAATAACGTTAAACTGGTAGTCTATTGTCATTGAATAGTAGGCTTGATTGATTATCTTGGGTTGGGCTTCATGTGACTTCTTTAGTTTTAGTGGCTTGTGATGGCTGATGGGTGTGCTGATTTTAGCTTAATTTTTTTATTCAGTGTGGATGAGGCTAAAAAAAGAATATATGCGTGTAGCACGTCTACTTATGAAGGTTTTCAGGTTTTAATGTCTGAAGAAGAGTCTGAAAAATTCAATGGTAACTATTTTGCAGTTTATGGTTATCATATTTCTCTTAAAAACATTATTTAATTTAATGATTCTGGTTTCTTAGTGGCTTAGAGAGAACGAATTCAAGATTCTGACTTTTTACATTAAACAGATGTACTTGGTGTGGTTTTCGTGTTGCCAGACTCCTACATTGATCCAGTAAACAAGGAGTATGGAGGTAGGACTAGGAGTTTTATTTCTGGAAACCCCATTGTTTTTTACCACTTATTGACTGGTTTTACGTGAATGTTACTACATTGAGATTGTAATTGAATCCTGGAGTTGAATGTTTTGCTGTGATTGCTAGGGGACAAGTATGAGAATGGTGTTATCACAAAAAGACGACCGCCTCCTACTCAGTATGGTAGAAACCAAGGTGGTAGGTCTCGTCAAAATTATCAAACTCAACAAAATTACGGGCAGCAGCCACCCATGAACAACAGAGATTATCCTCCTAGAGGAGGTGATCCTCCATACCAGGGCGGTTACAACCAAGGAGGGCAGGGAAATTATAATTCTGGACGACAGCAGCCACCAATGAACAACAGAGATTATGCTCCTAGAGGAGGTGATCCTTTGTACCAGGGCAGTTACAACCAAGGAGGGCAGGGAAATTATAATTCTGGACGACAGCAGCCACCAATGAACAACAGAGATTATGCTCTTAGAGGAGGTGATCCCTCGTACCAGGGCAGTTACAACCAAGGAGGGCAGGGAAACTATAATTCTGGACGACAAAGGGACTTCTTTCAAGGGGAGCAGAGGAATTATATGCCTCCCGAGCAAAGGGATTTTAGAGGAGATAGCAGGAACTCTGTTCCTTCACAAAGTGGGAGTTATGAGCAGGGGCCGAATCCTGGCTATGGGCAGGGACCAAATCCTAGCTATGGGCAGAATTTCGAGCGAGGGGCGAATCCTGCCAATGAACAGAGTTTTCGGCAAGGATCAAATCCAGAACCTGGTCCGTTTGGGCAGAGTTCTGGGGAAGGACAAACTTACCCGGGGCATGGAGATGGTCAGGGATTTTCACATGGAGGGCAACAAGTAAGACATTTTTTACTCGGTTTGAAATTTTCTGGATAGAATCTCAAATATTGATGTTGAACCCTTTGACAAACTGCACTTTGTATTGAGTTGTATTAGCTTTAGGTGCTTTGGAAATTATTTTCTGATCGTAGTTGTTTGATTTTGCAGGGAAGATAGATTCAACTGGTTCTTTGAGATGATTGAGAGAATGGAAATGCAAAGGACTCGTGGTGTCCTTTTTTTTCTTACTCTATTACATGTAGCAGTTTTTGTTCCGGCATAGTAAATAGTTGACTGTTTTAAACATTTAAAATGAATCTCTCTTATTTTCCAAATACAGAATCTCTCTTATAATTTAAACATTTAACAACAATCTTTTAACATATCTAAACATTTAACAATAATCTTTTAACCATTAAAGTTATTTTTAATAATAATATTTTAACCATTAAAGTTTTTATTTGTGCTGCAAAAGTACATTTTAGATATCATTTTTAAAATGCTATTTTTAATTATGAACTTATTTCTTATTTACATATAACACTAATGTCTAGTCACTTGCACTTCAACTTGTGTGTAATCTATATCCAAGTGGATTGATATTTATAAGTTGATTAAAAGATTTAATGGATTTATTGCATGAATAGGTTTACAATTTCTTTTGCTTTACTATAAAGATTTTTATGTATGTAAGCTATTTTGATATGTAGTGTTTGAATATATAAATGATTAGTTTCCTTTTTGTTATGGTTTATTGTTAGCAAATTTTGTAGACCGTAAATTTTTTTATTTAATTTGTCTATTTTAAGTCATTTGTTCTATTTAAAATTTAGGGTTTTAAATTCTATAGTTTAAGATTAAAGTAAGTAAAAATAAATTCTATATATCAAATAATAATTCCTGCTGTTATCATATCATCAACAACTAAAATTATATTTTAAAGTATTTATTTATTTATTTATTTTAGGTTTAATTATAAAATAAGTTCTCAAAATATAACGTTTTTCACAAATAGATGCTCATTTTTTTGAAAGATCCAGATGTTAAATGTTACAAACATTATCACTTTAGGTGATAAGATTTTAACTCTCGTTAGTTTTTTCTGTTAAATTATATGTGTCATATTTTGGGTAAATTAGATATAAAAATCAAACAGGAACTACGGAGAGTGATATTTTGGTGCAAATCGACAATGTTATGACTAATTTATTACTTATAAAATTTCAATTAAAAAAACTTATTCAAATATTAATCGTCTATTTGTATAGGTTACCCTTAAAATTAATATACGTTATATAATTATCAGTAAATTTAAAAAAAAAAAAAAAGCGACACACAAGCGTATAAATCGGATGGCAAAGGGTATGAAACAAGGATAATACTTTCCTTCGTTTGAATGAAAACCAATGTTTGCCTCATATTTCCCACCATTTTCGCTGCAATTCTCTCCCAAACAAAACTCAGCGAATGTTGCTCTTCTCTCATTTTGTTCTGCCATTTTCTTTCACCCTAAACACAAAATTGATAATCTTGCTCATCTTCTTCAACAAGGTCTATAGTACAGCCAAGACAAAGCAGCTATTGCATACGCATTCCATAACTATAATGTGCGTTTTCTTCCTTCAATTCGTTTTTCATTTTGATTTCTTTCGATTTTGATCCAAATGGTTAACGTACTAATAAATTATTGCCAGTAATGCCCTTTTGTTTGGTGATATATGAATTTTCTTACGTTTGGTACGATTATATTTTGTAACCTTGCCTGTGAAATGATCAACTCTTTTTTCTTTTCTTTTCTATGCTGGATGATCAAATTAGGATAATTGAAACAAGCTTATTTGGGATGTGAATTGTTTTTGGAAACAATTCATCAATGATGTTTCTGTATGGATTATGTATGGGGTGCAATTTTGACACCTGAATTGACAGTGCAAATTGTTTACTTCAACTATACTATATAAGCAAGTATAAATCACGGGCATATCCTTAATGAATGTTCAATCCCGATATCTTCAGTATCCATACTGCATTTGCTCGAGTATTGTGATGTCTATTCTAATGTCTTTTTCTTATCAGCTTGCTGGAGAGGCCCTCTGAGTAATGGTTCAGGCAAAAATAATTTTTTCTTGAGTATTTCATGCTGTCTGGCCGCTTTGTTTTTATGATAAAGATGCTGCAACCTTTATGTATGAGGCTTATTGTTCAATTGAAGATGCTTGCTTTGAGATGTAAGTGTAAGTCGTGCTGAAAAGACAGATACCCGGAAAAGAATTCTACCTCTCTTGTTTTAGCAGATTGTTGTGATTTGATGTTTTGGGTTCAGGTCTGGTAGAAATGAGATATTTGAACCATTTGTTCTTTGCTTAATTAGTCAGAATGGGTCGCGACAAATCTCCAAGTGGCAGGGATGCTGAGGGAGCCACCTTCCTTCATGGGGAACTTGATTTCTGGATTATAGAAGCTAAAAGTCTTCCAAATATGGATTTAAATTCAGAAAGAATGAGGAGACTGTTTTCTATGTGTAGAACTTGTGAGAGTTCCTCCAGAAAGAAACCCAAGGCCTCTAGCATTAAGTCCTCTGGCAGTATGGCTTCTAGCACCAAGTCCTCTGGCAGTAAGGCCTCTAGCATTAAGTCCTCTGGCCGTAAGGCCTCTAGCATTAAGCCCTCTGGAAGGCAGTCTATGAATACTAGTGACCCTTATGTATCTGTTTGCCTTTCAGGGGCTACGGTTGCTCAAACTAGAGTAATTTCCAATTGTGAGAACCCCGTGTGGGATGAACATTTCATTGTGCCAGTTGCGCATCCTGTAGAAAATATTGAGTTTCATGTTAAGGACAATGATGTTCTTGGTGCTGAACTTATAGGAGTGGTTGCAATATCTGCAGAAAAAGTTGTTACAGGAGATGAAGTTAATGGTTGGTTCACTATTGTTGGCCATTCTGGGACTGATCGAAATCCTGAACTGCATGTTACTCTTCAGTTTAGGCCAGTGGAAGAAAATCCTGTATATCAACATGGTGTCGGGACTGGACCAGATTACATGGGAGTTCCAAATACATATTTCCCACTCCGAAAAGGAGGGAATATAACCCTTTACCAGGATGCTCATGTACCTGATTCCTTGGTACCTGAAATTCCCCTTGATGATGAAAAAACTTTTAAGCAAGGTCAATGTTGGGAAGACATATGCCATGCCATTCTGGAAGCAAAATACCTCATATACATAGTTGGTTGGTCCATCTACCATCCTGTAAAACTTGTGAGGGAACCAACAAAGCCTTTACCTGAGGAAGGGCAGCTTTCTTTGGGAGAGTTGTTGAAATACAAATCGCAAGAAGGGGTGCGTGTGCTTTTGCTGATATGGGATGATAAAACGTCACATGACAAACTTCTTTTGAAAACGGTACAGTACTTGACTCATTAGTTCAGCATTTACATCTAGTAGTGCTTACCTTCGTGTCTGAATGTGTTTTCTTTGTCCTGACCAGAAAAAGAAAGCATTTTTTGCCATAATATTGGGATAATTATTGTTATGTTCGCATTTTAATGTTATTGATTTAAGAGTTAGTTGATGCCATTTCTATGAATAGGCTTTACCTACCGTGGAAGTCCTTTTGTAATGTTATTGTTTTGTTCCCAACCACCCTTAACCTATATACCCCACTTATACAGATGAATTGGTTGAATACTGTTCATTTAGTGATCTTTTTTATCCATATACGCATCCTGAATGATGCTAGGCTTGAGTGCAGGAAGGTGTCATGCAGACGCATGATGAAGAGACTAGAAAATTTTTTAAACGCACAAATGTTCATTGTCTGCTCGCTCCTCGCTATGCAAGCAGCAAACTTAGTTTTTTCAAGCAACAGGTAAAGAATTTGTGGAACAAAGTATTCTTACTAAAACAACTGTCCTTCTGCCTTGTCTTTGCCACTCAGATACTAGTATATTCATGAAAGATTTTTATCATTCATTGGTCATAACTAGATGACTATGCATTTAATTTGTTGTTTTAGCCACGCCTTGAATATATCCTTCTAATTCAGGTCGTAGGAACCCTTTTCACACATCATCAGAAGTGTGTGCTTCTTGACTCCCCAGGCTCAGGAATTAATCGGAAAATAACTGCTTTCATTGGTGGTCTAGATTTATGTGATGGTAGATATGACACACCTGAGCACCGGATCTTTACTGATCTAGATACAGTCTTCAAGGGTGATATTCATAATCCTACATTTCCTGTAAGTGGTTTCTCCACATTAAACTCTCTGCATTGTGGAGTGCGTTGTTATTTTTTTTTTTTTTTGAGAAATGTGGAGTGCGTTGTTATTTCTAGTATGATGGCGGATTATAAGAAGACAGCATTATAATTTAGCAGAGGATGAAGTTATTTTACTTAGCATTTCGTTTAGGTGTCCATATAAATGTTGTTCAAAGCACACTTACAGTCTTACTCAAAAGCAAATGGTGCAAAGTCCAATTAACATTTGAATTAATCTAATACAAGAAAACTTTCTAGCTACTATGTTTTGTTGTCATAGATTTATGCTGCTATTGCCTCACCCACTTTGATATTCTAGAGGTCTTTTAATATAGTTCTGGGAAGAGAATCGCAGACAAGGAAAAAAGCAGTGGTAAATTGAAGAGTAGTTAGCTGTTAGGAGAGTTCTTGGCGAAAAAAGAAAAGGTAACTAGAAGGTTTATGTAAATTTTAGAGAAATAGAATTCTTTGTTTTCTATTTTTTAACTCGGTTACAGAAAAAGAGAGTCCTATCCTTTTAAATGACCTCTTGTACAGGAAGTCTAACCAATGTAAAAGTCTATCTAAAATTTAGATTAAAGATGAACTAGAGACTTATCCTAAACTAACTGACTATTTATAAACAGTAACACAAATCTTATCTACAATCTACACTTCTTAGGGGTATTCAATCGATTAACCGATTGAACCAAATGACCCAAAATATATTAATCAAAATTTTTTTCCTTTAACTGTTAACCGAACAGAATTTTTCAAAAATTTTTAACCGAAACAAACTGAATTCGATTAATTGGTCAGTTAACTGAATTAACCGAAATTTATACATAATATATATTAAATATTAAATATTTTTGATTTATTCGGTTAATTTGAGCGGTTAATTCAGTTAAAATTAAAGTTTGAACACCCCTAATAGCTAAATAATATATATAATATCTTAAATAATTAATAATTTCTTAATTCGATTAATTCAGCTAATTAACTTATTTCAAACCAAATTAATCAATAATTGAAGTTTTTAAAAATCATTAACCGTTAATCAATCGAACCCAAAATTAACCGATTGATTAACCGAGAAAATTTTTGATTCGATCAGTTAATTCGATTTTAACTGAATTATGAACATCCTTACTTCCCCTCAAGCTGGTATGTATATGCTATAGAGTCCCAGCTTGGATGTAAGCTAGGAAGCGCCTTGGTGAGCACATCGGCCACTCACGAGTAGAGATGAAACTAAGCTTTTCTATTCCATTTGTAACCTTCTCAGACATAAGGTGAAGATTTAACTCCATATGCTTTGTTCGGTTGTGTTGTACTGGATTTTTAACAATGCTAATTGCTGATTGATAATCACAATTAAGTTTGAAATTTTCACTGTGATTCATTTTTAAGTTCTGCCAGGAACCATTGTACCCAAATATCTTCACAAATTTTTTGTGCCAAAGCTCGAAACTTAACTTCAACACTGCTTCTTGACAATACATTCTGTTTATTTTTTCTTCTTCAAGTCACCAAATTATCTCATACTCGAGTGCAATACCCATTGGTGAATTTTCGGTATGTGAGCTCTCCTGCTCAGCTTGCATCAGTGGAGACTTCCACCTTTTTCTTCTCATTCTTGGTAAAAAGCCAACCTATATCTTGATGTCATTTTAAGGTTTTGCAAGATTCTAGTTACTGTTGCAAGATGATCCTCTCTAGGATCATGCATAAACTGACTTACAATGATAACTGAAAAAAATAATATCCGACTTTGTAAGAGATAAGATTTCCTACTAATCGTTAATAATGTTCCTTGTCAACGGGGAAAAAAATCTCAATTAATTCAAAATTTTAGGTTCTGCTCCATAGGTGTCTCAACAGGCTTACAACCTACCATACTTGTCTCCAAAAATAAGTCCAATGTATACTTTTGTTGATTAATCACAATTTCAGTGTTTGATCTAGCTACCTCCATATCAAGGAAATATAAAAATAACCAATGTCCTTGGTTTCAAATTCGGTTGCCAAAAAAGCCTCAAGTTTCCAGATTTGAAAAGAATCATCATCAACACAAACAATTAAAATAGCCTTTTTTATTTTCTGAAGAAATTTTGACAAACATATTATGATCAGTTTGACATTGAAGATGGTCAAATTTCAATGTAACCTTAGTAAACCTATCAAACCAAGCTTTAGGTGATTGTTTAAGGTCATATAGGGTTTCAGTAACTTATATATCCTGTATGGAATAGAGTTTGTGCTTAATCCAAGAGGTTGTTGCATATATATCTCATTCTCTAGATTTCTATTAAAAAATGCATTCTTAGTGTCGAGTTAATTTAAGGCTGGTCAAGATTTGCTGCAAGTGATAACAAAATTCGTACCATATTGAGCTTTGTCATGTGAGCAAACGTCTTCTGATAATCAATCTCATAGGATTGTGTGAAGCACCTCGCTACCAGCCTAGCTTTGAACCTTTCGAAGCTCCCATTTGCATAATATTTAATTATGAAAATCCATTTACAACTCACTGTCCTCTTTTTGGAGGTAAATCAGTCAAAACTTAGGTCTTGTCCTCTTTAAGTGCCCGAAGTTCCTCTTGAACAACCTTCTTCCACCTAGGATTTTTTAATGCTTCAATTACAGACTCAGAAATATGCACTTAATTAAGTTTAGAAGTAAAAGCTTTGAATGAAGGCATCAATTTTCCATAGGTAACATACCATTGTATAGTATGAATGGTATACTTTCAGATATCTTTTCTCTGAGCAATAGATAAATTAGATGTATCTATTGCAGGAACAGTTTCAACACTTAAAGAATCCATACCTTGCTCATCATGTAAAGGAAATGGAATTTGGTCTAGCTATTGAACAGTCCTAACTGGTGTAGTAGCCTGTGGAACAGGCTTTCTCTTCCTCCTTGTATAGACACTAAGTTCATTTTTTTCAAGTTGAGTTGCTGGAGGAGGACTTTCTGGTGTAGGAGAATTTGATTCAATTTGGAGTATGAGCTAGGTTGATTGTGATATAGAAACAAGAACATCCAGAGGTAACTGTATTGTTTGAGGCTGAAATTCATCAAAACACTCCCCTGAATTTCAAAATTTGAAAAATAAGGCTGAAAATAAATTCATGGAATGTAACATCCATAATAATGTAGAATTTATGAGTGATAGGAGAATATCATATATATCCCCTTTTTAAGAGAAGAATATCCTAAAAAAATACACTTAGCAGCCTTAAGTTCTAACTAACCCCAAAATTGCTTATGGATGTGAACAATAGAATAACCAAAAACTTTAACTGTTAATGTGCAAGTCATAGGTTTGAAAAGAGAGAACTATAGTAGAAAGACATCTATCGGTCTTTGAAAGCCTAAAACTTGACTTGGTAGGTGATTATAAGATAGGTAGCAGTAAGTAAAGCTTTTGTGCAAAAATATTTTGGAACATCTGAAGAAAAAATAGAGAATGAATAACCTCTAAAAGATGTTTGTGTTTTTTTCTTGATGACTCAATTTTGTTGTGGAGTGTCGACGCAAAATCTAATGTGGATAAGGCACTTTTCTGTAAAGAAGATGCCCAAGGTACTCGTGAAGTATTCAGTCATGTTATCACTTTTTAGATTATGAATTTTAGAAGAAAATTAAGTGTCAACCATCATATAAAACGTCTTAAAAATACTTTCTGTTTCATATTTTTGATTCATTAAATACGTCCAAGTGGCCCTAGTATGATCATCAATAAAAGAAATGAACCACCTAGCCCCAGAAATATTCTTAACCTTAGAAGAGCCTCAAATGTCACTATGGATAAGAAAAAATGATTGACATGATTTATAAGAAGATGAAGGATATATATTTCGTTTATGTTTTGCCTACTTACATATGTGACAATGTAAAGAGAATGGATATTTATTAAGAAATAATTTTTGAAACAATTGTTAAAGATAATAGAAACTAGGATGACCAATGTAAAAGGGTCATAATAGGATGCCATTTGAACTTAAGCTAGACATATAAGAAGAAAACAAACATGATTATTAGTGCAACTTGACAGAGCTTGTCTTTTAGGAGGAGATTGGCCTTCAATAATATAAAGTCTACCACACAAATCAACACAATCAATCACCTTTATAATTTATCAAGAAAGAGAGAAAATTGAACGAAAATAATTCTCTTAATTACAAGCAATTTGATGCGTACAAGCCTACTTTTATACTATTCATGGAGTTAGTTTTCTACTTAAACTATACTACCTTGCAGAGTTATATACTAATAATTAGAATTAGAATTAATCTACTATTAGGAAAAACTACTCAATCGTACATCTAACACTCTCCCTCAAGCTGGGGAGTAAATGTTGGAAAGACCCAACTTGGATATGATTTCATCGAAAGTGGATTTTGGAAGTGCCTTGGTGAGAATATCAGCCAATTGATGTTTGGTAGGGACATAATTGAGTTTTATTAGTCCACTATTCACCTTTTTAGAGATAAAATGTCTATTAATCTCCACATGCTTCGTTCGATCATGATGAATTGGATTCTTCGCAATACTTATTCCTGACTTATTCTCGCTTTGAAGTTCAAAACAATTGTTTTCACATAATCCCAATTCAGTTAAAAGTCATTATAGCCCAATTCCCTCATAAATGTCGTGTGCCATTGCCCTATATTCTGCTTCTACACTACTTCGAGAGACCACCACTTGCTTTTTACTTCTCCACGTGACAAGATTTCCCAAAAAAAATGAATAACAACGGTTTTAGATCTTCTATCAGTTAATTCTCTTGCCCAACTTGAGCTAGAGAAGATTTTCACTGTTTTGTCTTTGTTTTTTTTTCTGAAAATCAATCCATGTCCCCGTGTCATTTTCAAGTATCTCAGAATTCGGTTTACTGTCTCCAAATGTTCTTCTCTTAGGTCGTTCATATACTAGCTCACAATGCTTACAAAGAAGGCTATATCAGGCCTGGTGGGTGATAAATAGATGAGT